TGGACCCCAGACTGAGAGCTGGGAAACCAGCATAGGACCAACCCAGGCCCCTGAACATGGGTGTTAGTTAGTAGGACGGGGCAGTCTATAGGGCCTCTGACAATGGAACCAGGATGTATCCCTAGAGCACGAAAGGACTTTGGGAGCACATTCCCCATAGAGGGATACTCCCTCAGACTAGAGACAAGGGAGAGGGCCTACACCAAATGACTTGACAAATTTTGATGATTCCTCCTGGAAGGGCTCACCCTCCCTGGGGAGTGGATGGAGGATGGGATGGAGGGTTGATGAGGGGCCTGGGAGGATGAGAGGGAGAGGGAATTGGGATAGATATGTAAAATTAGAAAAAACATTAAATAATAATAATAATAACCCAGGTGTGGGGTATACATTCATAACCCCAGATTCAGAGCTTGGTTGGGGGTAATGATACAATAAAGCATGGCACAGATGTTCTGAGCTCAATGGACAGCCAGGTTAGCCAGTATGTGTAACCTAGTCTCAGTGAGAAAATGTATTTTGTCTCAAAATAAATAAAATAAAATAAAAATAAATAAGGGGGAGAATAATGTATCCATACCAACCCTTGGCCTCCACACACATGTATATACACATAATCACACATACACCCTCCAAGCACAATTTATTTATTTATTTATTTATTTATTTATTTAAAATGATGAGTTCTGAAATAAATTGTAAGGGACAAATAAAATTGAGTCCTAGAGCAACATGACTCACACGGATCACATGCTTTTAGTTTAGAAGTTGATGACACCCTTCTTAAAGCAGAATCACTGGGTTGTGGGGGGTGGAGGGGAGCCACAAGGCCAACACCATTCTGAAAAACAATTTTGCATAAGCAGTAGCTAACCTTTATGTAGGGAGACAAGTCAGATAGGGTGGACAATGGTGCCCCCTGGTGGACTTTAGAAGCAAAAGCACCCAGAGGTTCCCAGTTCTTAGAGTGATTTTTTTTTATTGTTGTTTGTTTGTTTATTACTTAAATTTGCTTTTTAGCTATCTTTTATTTTATTCTTTGTGTATTTCACATTATGCATCTTGATCCCATTCATTTCCCATCCCTTCTTTTTATTTATTTTTATTTTTTATGATAATACTTTTTATTTAAATTGAAACAAGCTTATTTTACATGTTAATCCCAGTTCCCTCACTCTTCCTCCTCTGCTGTCTCCTCCCAACTCCCATCCCATCCCCTTTCTGCTCCCCAGGGAGGGTGAGTTCTCCCATGGTGGATCTTGAAAGTCTAGCATATCATTTGGTGCAGGGCCTAGGCCCTCCCCCATGTGTCTAGGCTGAGAGAGCGTCCCTCTATGTGGAATGGGCTCCCAAATCCATTCGTATACTAGGGATAAACACTGATACACTATCAGAGGCCCCATAGATTTTGAACATGATTCAAATGTTTGCCTTTGGTTTCTTTTTTTGGATGACCCTCTTCACATTAATTTCAGTGCATTTTCTACCACTATGGATCAAGTATAGGCATCTAGTATTATCCCTGACTCTACAGACTCACTTTTAGGAAACATACATTTCGAACATTATATCAGAAAATGTAAGTAGTGGAAACTCAGTGTCACCCGTGAGATACCAGGTCCTTAAATTCCTCAAGAGCAGGCTCCCGCCCCTGGAAGAATCTCATCTTTAAATGGGTCTGGTAGACTTTAAGTCTGCAGTGATAGGCAGAGTAGATATGGCCCATGTTCTGATTGTAGCGGGATGATCAAAGTTGGCTTCTTGAGAAGGGGACACCTAAGCAGAATGTGTAGAAGTTTGGGTAATTGATTGTAGATAATTAAAAGGAAGTCTATTCCATCTAGAAACAACAGAGGATATAAAGGTCCTCATACATACATTTTCTGGGTTGTTCCAGTGTTGACAACAAAGCCAGATTGTCTAGATAGCTATGTCAATAATAGGCATGGGGGAGGGGTTTAATTTATGAAAATCCTGTGGACTAGGGTAAGGACTTTAGGTTTTGCTGATAAAAATGGGAACTATTGCTGATGGGAGCAGAAGGTGGCATGGTCCAGCTTGCCCTTCAGCAGAATGCTTTGTTTCACTTCACAGCCCATGACTCTATATCATGACAAAGATGTCCTCAGATGAGGAACACTATCTATGTGACCTGGGATCCTGAATTTACACAGGCTTGGGTATATCTCACTGAGTCACTGTGAGAATCCAATACCAGGCAGTGATGGTTCAATCTCCCTTGTCAACTCGATTGTATTTGCAATTACCTAGGAGACATACCTCTGGGTATGTCTGTGAGTATGCTTCAAATAAATTTAACTGAGAAGAGGAAACCCACACTGGATTTGGGTGGCACCCAGTATCTGACTGAATAAAAGTAGGGAAAAGGAGAAAAACGGGCAACTATCAACAGTCATCTCTCTCTGCCTGACTCTTGTGGATACAATGAGACCAGCTGCCAATCTTTCCCTGTCATCATAGACTGCATCCCTTAAAATTGCAAGCCAAAATAGGCCCATGTTTCCACAAGTCGCTATTGGTCAGGTATCTGGACACTGCTTTGAGAAAAGTAATTAAAACACTTGCTATACAGATATTTACATACTATGGAATGTAACTTTGGGGTAGTAACATAGAGGGGCCTAGAGGAGATGCCCATTTTGTTTAGTAAGCATTATGCATTGCAGAAAGGAGCAATGTCACTACTGAAGAGATCAAAATTGGTTTGTAGAAAGCAAAAAGTTTTGTTTCTTTATGGGGTTTGGGTATATGGGAATGATTATGAAAAATTACTCAGAAATACTAAGAAGTTGAATAGCAGAGTGATCACACAGATGGAAATTTGAAATTTGTATTTATGTTATTTTATGTGTATGAGTGTCTGTCTGTATGGATGTATGTGTACCATCTGCATACAGTGTCCTTGGAGGTCAGAAGAGGGCATCAGTTCCCCTGCAGCTGGAGTTACAAGAAGTTGTGAACCATCATGTGTGTGCTGGGAACTGAACCTAGGTCTTCTCCAAGATCAGCAAGTGCTCCTAACCACTGAACTATCTCTCCACCCCCAACCCCCACCCCCACCCCCACCTAGATGTTTGGGAATCATAGCTGATATCAACTGTCCCTAACCTGGGTGAACTTGTAACAACCTAAAACCTGAAAGACAATGTCAGGTGGATGGGATGTTAGGTTATATAAAGGGTTAAAGTTATGGAGAAAATTTGAGCTGGGACCATTAAGCTATGAACACCTAATTCTGGAACCCAAGAGAAGCTGACAGATGTCTGTACCTATTAAACAATTTCAATAAGATACAAAGTTGTATCCTCTGATTCAGTGGCACACACATCTAATCCCAGCACTTAGAAGGCAGAGGAAGGTGGCTCTCTGGGAGTCTGAGGCCAGTCTGCTCTACATAGCTATAGTTGGATTTTATTTTGGGGCTGCCAACTCACAAATAATGGCATGGAGACTTCTTATTAATTATGAAGTTTCAGCCTATGGCTTAGGCTTGTTCTTAATTACCTCTTATAACTCAAATTAACCCATTTATTTTAAACTACATTCTATTATGTGGCATTACATCTCTTCTATCTTGCACCTCCTGTTTTCCCTCCATGTCTCCTGACATCTCTTCTGCACTCCGATTATTTCTTCCTTCTTCCTCTCTCTCTCTGCCCATAAGTCCCATCTAAACCTCCTGCCTAGCTATTGACCATTCAGCTCTTTATTAAACCAATCAGAAGGTGCCTTGGCAAAGACATCTCTTCATTAGTGTAAACAAATATTCCATACCATTGAAGGCCACATCGTAAGCCCTTGTCTCAATAAAACACAAGGATTAACATCATTATTCTTTAAGATCTATCTCTGGCTTCCTTCCCCTTATCCAGTCCTTGCCTGTCCTCCAAGCCAGGATTGCTCTAGATGACTTGGAACCCTAAGGATAAAATGAGGCACCGTTATAACAGAAGACCACATGCTTTAAAGCCCTTCTATCTGGACTGCAATGATTGTCACTTTTCACGTGATTTCTAGGTGTCAGAATTCATTTATAACCCATCTGGATTTCACTTCAAAAAGAGAAATGGGCCTTAGTAAAATAGAGCAACAGAGTACAGGACAAAGCACATGCAGGAAGATGGGCAACATCTATATATGGTATCTCCCAGGTGGTCTTGCACATACAGCTCTTTAGGGCATAGCCCCAGCTAAGGTTAACATGACCTAACACCTAGTCTAGCTTTTCTGTGTCTGTTAGGGCTTTTTAGGATGGGATCTTCTATTTTTTTTTTTTTTTGTTTAGTGCTCAGTTCAGAATCCTGTATATGAGAGCATTTTGGTGGGTATCTGTTGACTGTGCAAAACATTGCTCAATGTGAGGGCTCGGGATAGAAACCAAAGGCACAGATGTTAGAGTCTCACTTTGTGTGGTCTGTATTGATGGGCTGATGGGCACTTATCTTCTTTTCCCTCAGCCATTTAATCGCCTACTGGTGTTTCCAGATAAGAACTGTAAATGAAATCAGTTACTTTGCCAGGCGGTGTGGAAATCATGACATAGGGCATCAATTTGCAAAGTATCATTGTGTGATGAATTCAACTGTAAGCAGACAGGTTTACACTGAATTATAGTCCTCCACTGACTTGTGAGGGTTTCTTGCAATGGTCAGTAGCTAGGGCTCCTCCATGAGGGAGAGGCTAAATGTTCAGAATTTCAGCTTGCATTGGGTTGATGCTTGGACTTCTCAGAGCTGTTGGAATTGGAGGGACAAGTGTCTTCAGTAGTGAAGGAGTTAACCTAGTGGGTGAACCTTATCTTCCATCCAGTGGGCGTGTGGTTTGCTTATTAAATCTCCAGTAAATGATTGCTAGAGACCTGTCATTGATAGCTGTTGCTAAGGGCTGCCTCTCAAAAGCCCATTGATTCTTCCTTGTGGTGGAGAAGCATCGTCCTCTGGCCCTCTCCTTAGCCAGTCCTACTGAGCTCTTCCTGGGAAAGGATCTACTGGGACCAACCAGCATGGGTGATGAAGACTACAGTGACATCTATGACACAATCCAAAAGGGAAGGAATGACAAGGGTCCAGACCAGCTGGAGGAAGATGAAGGTCCTTTATATGATAGAGTCCATGAAGACTTGGGAACAGAAAATGATATGTATGCCACTAGGTTAGACATCCAGGAATATGATTCTTTGTCAGTGTATGCCTTGGAAAGCGAAGATGCCACCTCAGCCTCCCGGGAGCCGGAAGCAGAAAGCTACCTCCTGCCTGATGAGGTATTTTCTGAGCCCCAAGAGGTTAGGGGAATCTCCATAGGAGACTCGCACTCACCAAGCTGGGACCCAGAGCCTTTCCCACAGGAGCTGCGGGAGAATGGAAGAATGATCCAGGAAGATTTGCCTCTTTTACCGAGCTTCACAGTTCAGCACAGTAAAGGCTTTTCCACCAGTGGGGACTCCCCTACCTGCTCTTCTGCACCTCTTGGTTTGGAAGAAAATAAGGCAGCTCCCAACAATCCTGAGATCTTCCTGTTTGTGAAGGTAAGTGCTACCTCTGGCAGGCACACCCAAGCAGGGTGAGGTGTTCAGTGCTTTGTTTTGCTCTGTGGACCAGGGGGTGATGTATGGATGTTGCCGTCCATATCCCAAAGCAGAGATGATTAAATCGATCATTTGGGGTCACTTCAGAATGTCTCAAAATGATCTGAATTAGAAAATCTATTTAAAGTTTGTGTTTAATCATCGACTTTTATAAACCACAGGAAAAGCACAGAAATTACTGTTCAATTCTTTACAATTGTGATAAACATTTACAGCTTTCCTGCTTGATTACATGTCCTTATAATATTTTAAAATGTAACCAAAGCCAGCAAGAGAAAGCCATCTCCCTTCAGGTCTTCCCCTTGTGTTTCTAAGGTTGTAGAAACTTCAAATACTTGGGCAGTCAATGCTGTGACTGTCATTGTTCCTGCTCTGCCAACGCCAATAAAACTCAAGATCTGATGATGTAAAACTACTCCAGAAGCACCAAGATGCCAACCATGTGTTAATATTTAATGTCTATAATACTGAAACAAAAAGCATTTGACAACCTTTGTACTAGATTGATAATGTCATAAAGGTTATGATTACAAATATTACCAAAATATGAAGTGATGCAGAGTTAACAGGTCAATCAAAGTGGCAGATCCCGCCTCTCCAAACCCACACCAATGCATCCAATAGTCACCTTCACATGAATTTCTTCATGTGATAAAACATTCACGTGCATTGCTATTTCTTGCTAATTAAAATGAATACTACAGTTGGGAAGATGATTCTGTGGTTAAAGCCCAGCTGTCAAGTGTTAGGGACAGAGTTCAGATCTCCAGAACCCATGTAAATGCCAGATGGGTGTGGCAATCCAGCTGTAATTCCAGGGCTCAGGAGACTGAGAGGGGATCCCTGCAGCAAGCTGGTTAGCAAGATTAATGGAATTGTCAAGCTCTGGGCTCAACTGAGACACTCCGCCTCAATGAATAAGGTGGAAAGTAATCCAAAGGGCTGCTGATGTCAGCCTTAGGCCTTTATATGCATATTCCTGCATGCAGGTGCTCATGCATGCACCCAGAACATTCACCACACACACACACACACACACACACACATACACACACACACACGCGCGCGCGCGCTGCGCGCGCGATAAAAAGGAATGGTTGCACTTGGGACTGGGGACGTACCTCAGCTGATAGAGAGTTTGCCAGCAGCAGCTTCCACCATCCCTACCACCACATAAACTTGCAGCACTGGTGGAAATCTAATCTCACTACAGGAAGGTGGAGCCAAGAAGCTCAGAAGTCCAAGGTCATCCTTGGTTTCATAGTTCCAAGCTCATCTAGGTTACACGAGGCTTTGTTTGGAAAAAAAAAAAAAAGTTACTCTTTGCTCTTTGAACCTATACAATCCCATTCCACAATAATCTCTCTCCTTCATGGTTTCCAATATACTTCTAATGAAGTGAACTTTGTTAATTGAATACTTTAAAATACAATGTTTTGTACATTGTTATGTGTATCATGTCTCCCTCAATCTATTTTTTAAAAAGATCACATGGAGCCTCCTTCATACTCGGGTGGAAACACATTGAGCACTTGGGGGAGAAAGGATGTGGAAGATGACTTTGACTGTTGAGAAACCAACACCGTGATGCAGGATGGAGGGTCAGTGGACATGTTGTAAGATGCAGGATGGAGGGGCAGTGGACATGTTGGAAGATGCAGGATGGAGGGTCAGTGGACATGTTGTAAGATGCAGGATGGAGGGTCAGTGGACATGTTGTAAGATGCAGGATGGAGGGGCAGTGGACATGTTGTAAGATACAGGATGGAGGGTCAGTGGACATGTTGTAAGATGCAGGATGGAGGGGCAGTGGACATGTTGTAAGAGACAGAGCAGTGGAGTACTGTGTGTGTTCCAGAGGAGATGCTGAGCTGAGCCGGGGGCGTGGTGGTGGGGAGTCCATAAAGGATCTGTGGCTGAGGTGACATCAAGCAACCTGCCCAGCTCTGTGTCCACATCAAAACAACATAACAGTGTTAAAACTCACTTTTTAAGAAGTAGAAACTAGATGTATTTCTTCTCAAGACAGAAATATCCACAGACTTCTTGCAGTAAGCAGGGAGGGTTATTACCATCCTCACTGGTCCACCAAAACATAATTTGTAAATCTGGCAAAGAGTTGACCCTCTGGAAATTATCCTGGTCTTAAGGCTGGAATCAAACAGAAATAGCAGTTAAAAGGAATGTGGGTGTCTCCTGCTGATACCAGAAATGGGAGATGCTGCCTAACATTAACAAGGGACTCATAAGTTGTTCAACTCTCCTTCTCTAAGGCAGATATCTGACTTAAGCTGTTTAAGTTTATATTGTGCCTTAGTAAAACTATGTTATAAAGAGGCCACAGACTATACTTTTGATACCCTCCTTCTTCTCCTCCTCCTCTTTTTCTTCCCCCTCCCTCTCTTACATCTCTATGGTAAGACACGTGTGATTAGATTGGACCTAATAATAACCTGAGATAGTATCCTTAGTTTGGTTTCATCTACAAGTCCATGTCGCCAATTAAGTAACAGTCGCAACTTCCAGGAATTAGTATGGATGTAGTTGTGGCCATAGAGCAGAGTGTTGAGGAGGGGAGGGAGAAAGCAACATGGCTGGGTGTGGAGAAGCTGATGGGTGAGGTGATGGGAGGCTAGAGATGAGTGCCTGGGCTCTGTCAGCCCCTGAGCTTTAGAAGGACTTTGACTCTGAGTGATCCAGGCAATCTTTAGACCATTTCAAAAGGGGCCCTGGGGACTGTTTTCATAAAAACAGACTGTATATGAGGAAGATAAACCAGGAGCTGAAGCTGAATTAGACCCCTGTGACAGCAGGGAAGCAGTGGATGATGGGAACAGACTGGAAGAGGGAGCTCTAGGTGTTTGCTGATGGGTTTTATAGAGAGTTTAATGGGCAAAAGCTTTGGTTAACTCCAGGGACTTTAGCTACTGAGGGAATGGGGGTATTCTATCCATTCATCCATGAACTCCTCTCAGGGGGCATGTGACTGAGGGAATGGACTTTTCCAAATGGTGTCTATGTGTGTGTCAGAGGGGAACAGTGGTGGAGAGGCTGCATGCAGAAAAACATTCTTGTATTTTGTTTCATGACAAGAAAAGCAAGTAATCTGATAATGATTATTACAAAGGAAAATGACAAAAATACACACCATTTGTCATATGTAACACTGAGGGCATTAATCAGGGGAATCGTGGCTTCTCAAATTATCTGTGAGACAGTAGTCTTGTGTAGCTCAGGCTGGCCTCCGACTTGCTATGTAGCTGAGGATGGTCGTGAACTTCTGATCTCCCTGCCTCTCCCTCCCTATGGACAGGATTACAAGAAGGTACTACCATGCTTGGTTTTTATGCAGTGCTGGGAATGGAACCCAGGGCTTTGTGCATGTTGGGCAAGCATTCTACCCATTCACTACACCCCTAGCTTGCAAATTAATTGATTAAATGATGCATCCGTATACATCCCTCACAGGGCTGTGCTGAATAATATATAAGGTAATACATATGAAGTGCATAGTATCTCATCTGGCATAACCTAAGTATGCCAGACAAGGGACTGAATAATTTCTTATAATGAATTTGAACATTATGAAAATACCTTATTTTGAGCATGATGCTTGTTGCTATACATAATGAATAACTATATTACTGTTTTACTCTACTATGGGGATGTATTGTTGTAGAACAAACACTGCTCTGCTATTCTGCATCAATATTGTGGTATGAAATACTCCTGGGCCCAAATTTCATCATATTAGAAATGCAAAGGCCAGCTCTTATGGCCTTTGGTTCCAAGGTGCACAGCCCTAGCTGTTTATTAGTTGCATACACAGAACCTTCGATCATCCACTCTAGAAGGATAGTGACAGAGATTATCTCTAGATTTGGGTGTGATTGGAAAGGCTGACATAAACCCAACATTTCTGTTCAGCTCATGTGAATCAGGTCACTTTAACATATTGGCAGTCATGGTCAACAGTGTCTGTCTGTAATGGGAACACTCCTGAGGTTAGCATGGAGAAACACATATTTTGTGGAAGGAAAAAATTTGAGTGGCACCAAGTTTTTTCCTAGAAAATATCAATAGTTTTGTCCTGAAGGCAGGTGACATAACAGGCAGCCTTAATCAGTGTCTTTGAGATTCATGGTTCAGGGTTTCTAGTCAGTGGCAAACTTGGACTCTGGCCACTCATCCAAGGGTATTTTCCTATCCTTTGATTTTCGCTTTGTGGGATCTTATTTGTGTTGTTGTTGTTTTTAGAGTCCCATGTAGTAAAGGATAGCCTCCAATTCACTATGTATCTGGGAATAGCCTTGGAACTCCAGATCTTCCTGCCTCCACATCTTAAGTGCTGGGTTCACAGCCATGTGCCACCATCCATGGCTCTAGATTTGTTTTTCTAAAGAAATTACTTATACCATAACTTGATTCAGGATTGTAAGAAGTGTTATTAAATAGTTTTCTTTGCTCTAGCCTAACCAAAAAAAAAAAGTTCAACAAACATTTTACTGAGGTTCAATCATATCAGGGCCTTGATATGACTGAATTAGGAGCTACTCAACCCAATTCATGAGGCCTTAGAATATTAGAATTGGAATTCAAAATACTAAGCAATATGTATATTTACTTTTCACCAAATCCTCTTAGGTAGTAACTTTTACATATTTGATACTGTACATATATATTCTTAATGTGCCACATTAATAAATTTTAAGTGAAAAAGTGCATAAATATTGTTTATGAATGTTTGTTTTTTGTGTTGAAGGAACACATTGATTCATAGCCCTTCTTTCTCCCCTGCCTAGGGTTCTTTCCTTGGCCAGTACCTGATGAGATCAGATCTTGTGAGCATTCAAGTTCTTCCCAGGAATGAATACATTTGTCTTTAGCGTAGACAAGGTGTATCATCACAGGAAAAACTATAAAACACCACTGGGCAATGA